AAGTGACGTCAACGCCCTGCCCTGAATAAATAATGTATTCAAATTCAGTATAAATGTTACACAATGTAAGACGTGTAGAAAATAGCACACTTGCAAAACCATCACGTTCATAACATAGACGCCTGCTTCGGAAAAAAACAGGTTTACAGCTCAACACAATAACATTAGATCACACTAACCTGGACCACATCAGACAGGGTCACATCCTGGTCTAACATACCCGGGAAGCTATCCCATTGGACACCAGTGTATTGAAACGAGGCTGGCCGTAGGCATACCATATTTCATCCAGGAAGTGTTTACAATTGAAACGAAGATGTGATTGGTCGTGATTAATCAAGGAAATCAAGGTTGTTTTTAACTTGAAATAGGATGTTTCGTCATCGATGAAATACGTCTCCATTGAAAAATACTCAAACTCAAGATAACAATCGAATTAGAGAAAAATTCAGATGGAAAGGACATGTTATACGACGCCCAGGGATATTGTAACAGTGCTAAAATTGCTATATTTTATTCAACTTTTTGTGAAATTCGCCTTCAATTCATAAGTTGTCGGTTAACCATTTAAGACCTGTCGGTACATACAAGTGATATGAAATTGTATAACAACACCTGGCACTTCAGATTTACGCCGCCACAATCAGGTCGGTGGGCGAAACTTTAATTACATGTTGAATAACAACTGGTAGTGGTCAGCGCGTTTGGCACTTACCAGTGTACCGTTATCAGCTATTTAACGGCAACTGACCTAACTAGAAAATTCAAAACGCGAAACCAAACACGAGCTGAGTGATTCTATCGGCATTCATAATCTTCTATTACTCAACTTTCCAAACTGACCGTCTGCTTTGGCTATTAACAGACCAAACCCATCATACAAAAATGTATAACATGTCCAGTCTTTATTAGTCCAAAGTCTCAAATTTCAAACTGGACATGCACATGTAGACTTGCCTTCAGATTAACAAAGGAGGTCTCAGGTATAATATAGGGGACAATCGACTGTTAGACTCCTGCTTTGCCTGTGGCTGCTTGTACTAGTCTCTCTGTTTGTCTTTGAAGGTGTGTTGATCCCGTGGCTAATTCCCCGAAAGTCATTCTAGGTTTTGATCCGTTTTAGTGTAAAAATTAACTATGTTTCAATTTCAAGGTATGAAATGAACTGTTTAGTTTTCTTATCAGTATACACTGACTGCAAGTAATTGGTCTACATGACGCATTTAGGTTCAGGAGGATGTATCAGAAAAAGGCGTGACGTTCATATTTCTGTAAAGTTTCGTTGTGAGACTTGAAAAGGTGAGGTGAGGTGAAATTGGGTTTAACGTCGCGTCCAAGATTATTGCACTTATATAGCGACGTGCATGCACGTGTATGTGTGTGTGTGGCTGCTTGTACTAGTCCGGACTGATGCCGATTTATAGTGCTAGCTCACTGAGATATCATGCCGCAGTTTAACATGAATACCCCACTCAGACACAGTATACTGACTCCGAGCCGACCAGTCCTTGTTTTAGCCCCTTAATGCCGAGCGCCAGACAGGGTAACAACAAGTACAATCTTTTAACGTCTTTATGCATGACGCGGCCCGGGATCGAACCCTGGACCTTCCGCTCTCCGGGCGGACGCTCTACCACAAGACCACGGAGGCGGTCGAGACTTGAAAAGCTATGAACAATACACATACTGCAAACTGCCTAACGCTGTCTGTGACACAGAAATACAACCATAATGTACTCTATGAGCTTCATCCTTTATACATATCGTAAAGAGATAATGACATCTTAGTGAAAGGTTGCATTTCTGTACGGGGCACGTGTGGCAGGGCGTAGGCTGACAGTGAATAGCACATATGTCTATCCTTACGTCCGAAAGACCGCCTCCGTGGTCTAGTGGTAGAGCGTCCGCCCGGAGAGCGGAAGGTCCGGTGTTCGATCCCTGGCTGTGTCATATCAAAATACGTTAAAAGAGGGTACTTGTTGTTACCCTGTCTGGTGTTCGGCATTAAGGGGCTAAAACAAGGACTGGTCGGCTCAGAGTCAGTATACTGTGTCTGAGTGGGGTATTCATGTTAAACTGCGGCGTGGTATCTCAGTGTGCTAGCACTATTAATCTGCATCAGTCCGGACTAGTACAAGCAGCCACACACACGTGCGTGCAAACCACATTTCACCTCACCTCACCTTACGTCTGACGAATCTTACGAAATGAGGATTAACTTTGTATTACAACAGGATTGTTTGTAATTTTCTGTGTGCATGTATCGAAGGACAGTGGTCACAATCTGTATAAAATCTTATTATTTATGGTTAAAGATGCCAGGGTTGCTGCGATTGTAAAGAATAAATAAAAACGTCTTTATTTAATTTTTGTTATTGTACATGTTTTATCTTAAACCTGTTATACAAAATACACGCGAAGTATTGCGTGTTTAGTATAGGACAGCCACATTTGTCACACATACCATGGAAGTATACAAAGGCTTCTTATAACTGTTTCAGTGGAATATAATGTACGCAATGATTAAGCTAGCTGTACACAGAGTATGTATGATATATACGTAACACAAAAACACAAATATAAAGCTGAATTTGTAACGGTAAGGCAGGAATATAAAAGTGAAACAACACTTTCCATAAAAATAAAACAAAAACATCCATTGACCATTGTGCGATTCCCTTTATCTCATAAACATGTGTTTTTTGAATCACTATCAAAATAAACGTATCGTACCTCACCAGTGGAACCCGTCACAAACACATGCAAAGACATGTGCAGTGTTCACGTCAACAAACATTGGAATAAATGGAACATTTCACACTGGGATATTGCTCTTTATGAGCTTTTATAGTGTTGTCTTACAGATGTAGTGTTGTCTTACAGATGTAGTGTTGGAATGCTGTCGTGGTGCTGTTGGTGTAGTGTTGGGATGCTGTCGTGGTGCTGTTGATGTAGTGTTGGGATGCTGTCGTAGTGCTGTCGATGTAGTGTTGGGACGTTGTCGCAGTGTTGTTGGTGTAGTGTAGGGATGCTGTCGCGGTGCTGTTTATGTAGTGTTGGGATGCTGTCGTAGAGCTGTTGATGTAGTGTAGGGATGCTGTCGTGGTGCTGTTGGTGTAGTGTTGGGATGATGTCGTGGTGCTGTTGATGTAGTGTTGGGATGATGTCGTGGTGCTGTTGATGTAGTGTTGGGATGCTGTCGTAGTGCTGTTGATGTAGTGTTGGGATGCTGTCGTAGTGCTGTTGATGTAGTGTAGGGATGCTGTCGTGGTGCTGTTGATGTAGTGTTGGGATGCTGTCGTAGTGCTGTTGATGTAGTGTTGGGATGCTGTCGTAGTGCTGTTGATGTAGTGTTGGGACGTTGTCGCAGTGTTGTTGGTGTAGTGTAGGGATGCTGTCGTAGTGCTGTTGATGTAGTGTTGGGACGTTGTCGTAGTGCTGTTTATGTAGTGTTGGGATGCTGTCGTAGAGCTGTTGATGAAGTGTTGGGATGCTGTCGTAGTGCTGTTGATGTCGTGTTGGGATGCTGTCGTAGAGCTGTTGTATAGTGTTTGGACGTTGTCGTGGTGTTGTTGATGTAGCGTTGGGATGCTGTCGTAGCGCTGTTGATGAAGTGTTGGGATGCTGTCGTAGAGCTGTTGTATAGTGTTTGGACGTTGTCGTGGTGTTGTTGATGTAGCGTTGGGACGTTGTCGCAGAGCTGTTGTATAGTGTAGGGACGTTGTCGTAGTGTTGTTGATGTAGCGTTGGGATGCTGTCGTAGTGCTGCTGATGTAGTGTTGGGATGCTGTCGTAGTAGTTTTGATGTAGTGTTGGGACGTTGTCGCAGAGCTGTTCATGTAGTGTTTGGATGCTGTCGTAGTGCTGTTGATGTAGTGTTGGGACGTTGTCGCAGAGCTGTTCATGTAGTGTTGGGATGCTGTTGTAGTGCTGTTGATGTAGTTTTGGGATGCTGTCGTAGTGCTGTTGATGTAGTGTTGGGACGTTGTCGTAGTGCTGTTGATGTAGTGTAGGGATGCTGTCGTAGTGCTGTTTATGTAGTGTCGGGATGCTGTCGTAGTGCTGTTGATGTAGTGTTGGGATGCTGTCGTAGTGCTGTTGATGTAGTGTTGGGATGCTGTCGTAGTGCTGTTTATGTAGTGTCGGGATGCTGTCGTAGTGCTGTTGATGTAGTGTTGGGATGCTGTCGTAGTGCTGTTGTATAGTGTTGGGACGTTGTCGTGGTGCTGTTGATGTAGCGTTGGGATGCTGTCGTAGTGCTGTTTATGTAGTGTTGGGATGCTGTCGTAGAGCTGTTGTATAGTGTTGGGACGTTGTCGTGGTGCTGTTGATGAAGTGTTGGGATGCTGTCGTAGTGCTGTTGTATAGTGTTGGGACGTTGTCGTAGTGTTGTTGATGTAGCGTTGGGATGCTGTCGTAGCGCTGTTGATGAATTGTTGGGATGCTGTCGTAGTGCTGTTGTATAGTGTTTGGACGTTGTCGTGGTGTTGTTGATGTAGCGTTGGGACGTTGTCGTAGAGCTGTTGTATAGTGTTTGGACGTTGTCGTGGTGTTGTTGATGTAGCGTTGGGACGTTGTCGTAGAGCTGTTGTATAGTGTTTGGACGTTGTCGTGGTGTTGTTGATGTAGCGTTGGGACGTTGTCGTAGAGCTGTTGTATAGTGTTGGGACGTTGTCGCAGAGCTGTTCATGTAGTGTTTGGATGCTGTCGTAGTGCTGTTGATGTAGTGTTGGGATGCTGTCGCAGTGTTGTTGATGTAGCGTTGGGATGGTCCGACATCCACACTAGTGTTGTCAGCATCCTACATTCAGTTGAAAGGATGGGCATAGCGTCATTCAACATTTTACTTCCTTTCAAGTTCGGCAAATGTGACGCACATTCGCTACATCAGCTGGTCGCAGTCTAGTTGTGTACCTCTCGCTGATTTGTCCTCAGAAGCGGATACGCCGACGATTGGGAGGATCGGCAATGTGATAGGCGGCTGTAAAGATATAAATACCCTCGACGCAAGTGAAAGAATAATAAAGAATATCACTGTCCTGGAAACACGTACAAGCGTTGTTCTGTCTCGGGTAAGTTTTACCGAGGAGTTGATTATCGTTACTGTGCATGTGTTATACAGGATGATAACAGGATTGATTAATTTTTATATTGTTCATATTACTTACATATTATATTACATTTATATTGTTCATATTACTGACTTACCTACATGTCGCTATTTATAGAACTAGGTAATATTGCGCATCTGACTATATTTATATACCGGTGTATCCCACTCAGTCAACACATTGATCAATATGCCGGGAATGAAACAACAAATTTTGTTATATTCCCGTTTTTATTAAGAATTACAGTGAGCGATGAGATAGCTCAACGCAACAGATTTAAAATACAAATTATTTATTAAGACGCTTCTAGTGTAATTACATTTTCAAACCTCCTTTTAATTAATATTCATAATTTACATTAACATGCTTTATTGGTTTGACAGTGCATCACTTTAAATAATTAAACGTTACACTGTATGTGTTCATTGTTAAACCTCTTCTCTATCAGGGGCGGTCGGGTAGCCTAGTGGTTAAAGCTTTCGATCGTCCCGAAGACCCGGGTTCGAATCCCGACATGGGTACAATGTGTGAAGCCCATTTCTGGTGTCCCCCGCCGTGATATTGCTGGAATATTGCTAAAAGCGGCGTAACACCAAACTCACTCACTCACTCTTCTCTATCATACACAGTTTATACAGAACAATTTAGTAATTCGTCGCACTCTACTTTAAGTGTTAACGGTGTTCTATTGTCATTATGCAGAACAACAATGATGAAGCCGACAGCGATTAGTTCGCAGCTGATTCTGCTGCTGATGGTGGCTAAAACTAATGCAGCATTGGCCCCCCTCAGCGTCAACTCTGGAAGCCTCAGCAACCTCAGAGAAGCAAGCATCAGCGACAGTAACCCTGCGAGAATCAGCAACCTCAACGCAGCAAGCATCAGCAACCTCAACACTGCGAGTATCAGGCTGAACAAAGTCGAACAGCAAGTTGCTGTTTCTCAGGCACAATTTCAGCTTGAGGCAGAACGGAGTCAGGAAAGTGCCTTTCAGTCGTTAGGTGAGATACGACTCATAGGGTGCAATAGCGTGGTCCAATCTTTTAAATGCACATAGCTGCTCGCTGTTATGGAGCGTTACTCCGAAAGACCATAGAGTCAGTTCTACAAGACTTGTCGCCTTTATGTAACAACTTTAGGCCGTGGTGTGTAAATAAAGCGACAAAACCCTTGCCATACCCAAAAGAAATCTCTGCATAATAAAGCAGAGTCGATGGTACGATTCCAGCTATATCATGAACATCACTATCACAATCACTATCAAATAGTAATGATACTAGGTGTTCGCGAAAAGGTGAGCATATCCTGCCCAACCGGTGGCACCCGTCACAAACACATGCAAAGGCAAGTCAATTGTTCACCTGAAAAAAACACGGGAACATATGATACAAGTCAAAATAGGGAATTGCATCGGACATAATTTTTGTCCCTGATGCGTCAAATTTGGAAATGTCCTCCCCATGTCTACCATAAAACGTTTTGAAAGCTTTACTGAGGCCTTGAATTTTGTAACTTTGAATAAACAACTTCTGAAACTATTGATTTTGTTAAGGTTCATATTAAGCCAGCTGAGATTTGTGTTTATAAATATAAATGAATACATGATTTCCCATGATGTAATATAACCATCCTACGCAGTATCATTGTAAGGTGCATGTATATGGACATTTTACGAAATATATTTCTAGTTATTGTCATTGAAAACAGACACCTGAATGTGTTTTCCTGCATCTTCCAAATAGCACGACATTGAGTCATGTCCTTTTCTTTCCACAGACCGAGCTGCATCAGAACCTGGCTCTACAACGGACCAGCTCAACAAGTTCACATTCACAGCACCTGAGAGTATTATCAAGGGAAACAACCATCGCCTCAATGTCCTCCAAGTTACACAGTTGCTACAGGCGTAAGCATGCTTCCGAATTGAATTATTTATATAAAGTGAGTGAGTGAGCGAGTGAGTTTGTTGCTTAACGCCACACTCAGCAATATTCCAGCTATATGACGGTGGTCTGTAAATAATCGAGTCTGGACCAGACAATCCAGTGATTGACATCATGAGCTTCGTTCCACGCAACTGGGATACGATGACATGCATCAACCAAGTCAGCGAGCCTGACCACCCGATCCCGTTAGTCGCCTCTTAGGACAAGCATAGGCGCCTTAATATAGAGCCTTTTATACTATTTAGTGTCAAGTCAAGTAGCCACATTTCAGAAGTACGATAAGATGCTTCGATGCATAAACCGAAACAACGCATGATATCACAAAAACGATAAACAATTCCCATTCATCGTTTATGTTTTAAATATGTACCAGGAAAATAATTAAGCACCCTTCTGCTCTTGTGTCCTCTATTTATTTATTTATTTATTTATTGGTTTATTGAAACACGTTTGTTATGATTTACAAAGTGACATACCTATATTGAAATACACAAATATTATTATGACTACTTTCCTTCAGGTATCAGTGAAATCTTAAACATTTGATCAAAATGAGGTCAATGTCATATGTAGACATTTAAAAATAAATAAAGGACGTCCAGAGTGTTTACAAATGTAGGAGTGGTTCTTTTTTCAGGTGCATATGTAGTATATAAATAAGGTCGAATAACAGTTAAGCATAACTTTAGTTTGTAAGCGTTGTTTTATATATAAAGTGGGATTAAACATCCATATACGTATTTGGTATAACTTCTTTATCTGCGGTGAGGCTAGCGCCCTTACAACCCTAACAACAGTCATATGGAAATTTACCTTTTCATGTTCTGTCCTAAGTACGTAGTTTACTCAACCGTATGAAGTGTCCTCGAATGTTAATTGCTTTTGTTTGTATGTCCCAGTGTCCTTCGTAACCCTTCGCTGTCGAGAAAGACCATTGGCTAAATTGTTGGTAGACTGTCGGTTAAAATAAACGTAATATTTATTCAAGGATCGGTTATAAATGCCCTCATATTCAAGACATTCGGCAAGACTGCACCTTGTGTGTACATAAACGCGACAAAACATTTCCATGACAAAAGATCCTGTCATATCGACAGCCAGTTCTGTCCCTACATTATAGCTCTCCTATCAGGAGAAATATAATATTATTATGTCTGCCTACACTTAACCGGGACTTCGAGCCATGATACTTGCATACGATTGATGACTACGTGTGACTACTTGCAGATTAAATTTTTTTAATAAGCCGAGAACGTTTAACGTAGATTTTAGTGAGTGAGTTGGGTTTAACGCCGCTTTTAACAGTATTCCAGTCATATCACGGCGTCTCAGACGTTCACCACTTCGGTGAAACCCACGAGCACGGGTATGGTGCTGACAAATCTAGAAACATAATCGTGGCGAACCGGGATTCGAACCCACAATCATAGGTTTCTGGCGTGCCTAAGGGACGCAACTCTTATTTCATAGAACACTTTATATTCGACACAATGCATCGCCTTATTATGCTACCATGGTACAATAGCAATGGTTACATTAAATAAATGCACTTTCAGCCTTTGTTGAAAAATATGAACACTTTCGTTTTTATAGATATTGTACAATTTGAGGTTGGTTCGCTTGGGCCAGTGCCCAAGGGTGCCAGAATTCGCTGTAAAGAATGCCAGGATCCGCTGACCGCCGTGGTTCGAATCCCACATTAATCACAATCTTGATCCGCGGAGCTACACCGAGCTCGTTGGTGTCATCAAGGTTGTACACGCCTGCGATATGTGTCACTTTGAGTCCTCCTCAACCCTTAGTGAGTGAGTGAGTGAGTATGGTTTTACGCCGCTTTTAGCAATATTCCAGCAAAATCACGGCGGGGGACACCAGAAATGGGCTTCACACATTGTACCCATGTCGGGAATCGAACCCAGGTCTTCGGCGCTCCCCAACCCATAACAAGCGGTGATAAATAGAATACTGTTCAAAGCGGCGTTAAATCGAAGGCATACTTAGAATTAAATATTGGCATCGTTTACTAATGCAGGGCGAACATATCACAAGAGGCCATCCCTTCGGTCCTGAAGAGTGGTTTTGGCCCAAGGCTCAACTGCGCTTCCAGCCTTAAGTGTAGCAGGTCATCCAAGTACCGCACAGCTGATGGTTCCTGCAACAACCTGGCGCACACAAGCTGGGGCAAGGCATCCATTCCAATGAGGCGATGGTTGATCCCAGACTATGATGACGGTGAATATTTTGAGAACATGTTTTCTACACAATGTTTTTTAATATAAGTTGGGGCACGGGTGATCCAGTCGTGTTAGGCGCCCTGTGCGAATTTGCGTTCTTTAGGCGTAACAGATACCTATGATCGTGGGTTCGAATCCCCAATTTGTCCTGATGCTTTTTTAAGGATTTTGAGCACCAGACCAGTGCTTGTAAGATTAAACAAAGGGGAAGCAACTCCTGCATCAATTCGGAATTTCCCATAACATCAGGCTGACATGCCGTGATTTATCTGATGAGTGAGTGAGTGAGTATGGTTTTACGCCGCTCTTAGCAATATTCCAGCAATATCACGGCGGGGATTTATCTGATGTACTTTTGAAATCGGTTATATCGGTGAAATCAAATAATCCCATTCTCTCTAAAATACATATTCAAAGCCATTATGATGTCATGTTATGATTAATATTGTTATCATATTAGTGGCTGTGGAATTTTTAATTGAGCACATGATTTCACTACGCAGGGTATACATTATACTATGGTGGTCTTGTAGGATAATCCTTTGGGGTGTGATGGTAATTATTATCTCGTTATTCGGTTCTTTATATAAGGGGACCACAGGTGGCCTAGTCGTCTAAGACGCCGCGATTCGCTGTGCAGAGTTGCGTCCCTTTGGCACGCCAGAAACATATGATTGTGGGTTCGAATCCCGTTCGCCCTGATTATGTTTCTAGGTTTGTCAGCACCATCCCCGTGCTCTTGGGTTTCACCTATGTGGTAAATGTCTGAGACCTACATTACTTCGGGCTTTCCTCCAACATAAAGCTGACACGCCGCTGGAATACTGTTAAAAGTGGCGTTAAACCTAATTCACTCACTCTTTATATAAGTTTCCTAAATCTGGAATCTGTTTTAGGTGTCTCTTCCCCACGAGAAAAAGCCACCCTAGGGTCGTCCTCAAAGTTACCCAGTGCCCGCCTGGTCAGCACGACTGTCCACACCCCGTCAACAAACGCTGACCGCCACGCCTCCTACACCCACATGTTGATGCAGTGGGGTCAGTTCCTGGATCACGACATCACCAGCACGCCAACACAGCAGCTGTCTGGAAGTAAGAGTAAAAGCTTTTGTGAAGATGATATTTAAGAAATGAAATTTGCTCTACCCCTGTGTGTAGTGTAATAAACTAGTATTGATGAAGCACAAGGATGATTATAATAGTTCAGGGCAAACTTTATAACACTACGCATGGAGGTACATTTCTAAGATGCCGAATTTAAAACTAATCAGAGTTTTATTGGAGACAGTGTTTTACTTGCCGTAAATTGAAAATCCTGGAACAGGGCTAACTGACGGGCTGTTCCACTCGAATGCCTGTGCCCTTAGGTTAAGAGACATATTTATGTTTTAAACATAATACAACATCACTAAAATGCGTAGTTTATTATTTAAAAAGGTCATATTTCCTTATCAGTTCATTGTGTGGTTATCCATAAACCCATGAAGCAATAAGGTTTTTTAAATTATTTTTTTATTAATTTGCTTCAATGTAATCACGTGAAACATTCCACAAGTGCATTGTGGGGCCGAGCTAACATGTCAACATAACCGAGGCAAACCCATTGTACTATTCCTACTTATGTCCTTTTCGATACAGGTCCGTATGGCGGTTCTATTGGGTGCTGTGGTTCTAGCTTTCATAAAGGAAAGAGAGCAGCATTTAGAGCACCACCGCTATCACGTCCATTCAACAGGTGGGCACATTACAATTATACCTAGGCTCCTATACATTATCCGCATTTGCCCGTCAACCTTTATCGTTCCGTCAGACATTTTGGGAATCAATGATTACTTTACTTGTAATTGTTTGTATATTACATAATTGAAAATTGTATTTTCCGACGTACACAAAACTAAGATCGCAATGATAGCGATAAGAACGTGAAAATGTCTCGACACACTATGTTCTGACTAGCTGTGCGCTTCTCATCAAAACAAACGTCGTCGCGATCATGATGATATTCTATATTAGTACTTTATATAAATGAGACCTTATTTACTTTTCTTGGTCTTAATACTACCATTCCAGAACACACACAATAGTGGTAAGTCTTTATTAAAGCTTTAAATGTATACACTCTGTCACATTGATCCTTTGTTGTTTTGTAACGATCAGTATTTGGTCCTTGCAGGCCCCAGTGCTTCCCCATCGATATTCCACAACCCGATCGACACTTCAGGTCAACCTGCATGAACTTCGTGCGCTCGGTTCAAGTAGCGAACGCCGACTGCCAAGCAGGTAATGTGATACACATACTTTTATAAGATATTATGACGTTATATACGGGTGACACGGTGTGGTGCCGTGAGTTGGGTTTTACGCCGCTTTGAACAGTATTTCATTTGTATCAGGGTATGTCAGCTTAATGTGAGATGAAGTCCGAAGTGATGCAAATCTTAGACGTTTACCATTTTTGTAAACTACGGTTATAACGAGCACGCTTATAACGAACTGACGGATATAACGAACTTACTTTTTGGCCCCGACTACTTGCTGTAGTCATGCTAGGGGGCACGGGTGGCCCATTCGTCTAAGGCGCCGCGATTCGCTGTGCAGAGTTGCGTCCCTTGGGCACGCCAGAAATCTATGATTGTTGGTTCGAATCCCGGTTCGCCCCGATTATGTTTCTAGGTTTGTCAGCACCGTACCCGTGCCCGTGGGTTTCACCGAAGTGGTAAACGTCTGTGACCTGCATCACTTCGGGCTTTCCTCCCACATTAAGCTGCCACGCCGCGATATAACTGGAATACTGTTAAAAGCGGCGTTTAACCAAACTCACTCACTCACTCACTGTAGTCATGCTGTATATGTACTTATAACGAACTACGGTTATAACGAACTAAAATTAGTAGTCCCTTTGAGTTCGTTATAACCGTACTTTACTGTATTGTAATAATAATCGAGCACAGGTATAACAGGAGTCATGACAAAACAGGCATCAGGGCGAATCTGAGATTCGAACCAACGACATAGGATTCGGGCACGTCTAATGAGGTGAGGTGAGGTGAAATTGGGTTTAACGTCGCGTCCAAGATTATTGCACTTATATAGCGACGTGCATGCACGTGTGTGTGTGTGGCTGCTTGTACTAGTCCGGACTGATGCCGATTTATAGTGCTAGCTCACTGAGATACCATGCCGCAGTTAACATGAATACCCCACTCAGACACAGTATACTGACTCCGAGCCGACCAGTCCTTGTTTTAGCCCCTGAATGTCGAGCGCCAGACAGGGTAACAACAAGTACCATCTTTTAACGTCTTTTGGTATGACGCGGCCGGGGATCGAACCCCGGACCTTCCGCTCTCCGGGCGGACGCTCTACCACAAGACCACGGAGGCACGTCTAATGGAAAGACATTCGGCGAGTTGTGCCGCATGAGACACCTTCCCGTGCCCCGTATGGTGCAGTGACACATACTCGATGTTTCAATGGCACAATATGCTTGTTCCAGCTCCCGTGGAACAGCTGAACCAGATCACAGCCTACATAGACGCCTCACAGGTGTACGGGTCGTCACAGGGGGAACAGAACAAGCTACGCACATTTGTTGACGGTAGGAACGATCATCATAATAATGTTTTCATTTCCTCAAACTTATGACTCATTTATTCCATGTTCCCAAGTCAAGCTTTCGGTGATAATATAAACGAAAGTAACATCTAATCAGAGTTCAGATAGAAATAAAAACACGCTTCACAGAATTCGATAATTCACCACTGTCACATTAAATGTGACCCGTGAAGATCCGGGATAGAATAGGTCTTCAGCAACCGAACGCCGTAAACGGCGACTATGCTTGTCGTAAGACGCGACTAACGGGATCGGATGGTTAGGCTCGCTGACTTGGTTGATGCATGTCACCGTATCCCAATTGCGTGGATCGGTGCTCATGATGTCATTCACTGGATTGTCTGGTCTGGATTCGATTTTTTACAGACCGCCGTCATAGAGCTGGAATATTGCTGAGTGCGGTGTTAAATAACAAACACACACACAAACATATTAAATATAATTTCGAGTAGCGCCTATTATATTGTATAGTATATATATGATATATGTCATAGTTCTTGCAAGAGGTATTGGCGTTGATTTTCGGGTCTCGAAAATTTTCATCTGCTTGTACAATTCTGTTTTGAAGTCCACACTCCGGGGCAGTGATAACTTAACATTACACCACTGCCACAGGCTAATTTGCATATCACGCGACCGGACGTTTCTCTTCTTTGTAATCAAACTCGTTCATTCTGAAATCAGAACAGACTGGCCTTATGCAAGCCTTTCGGTGTGTTTTGCATATTGGTTTGCATAATTACCCTTAAACTGCGACAGTGAGGTGCATGACAATATAATTTGTACATCAAATTATATGACCATATCGCTAGGTCTCCGTTGGGCTTCGATGACAGCACGTGGAGCCGTACAACCAATGTTAACAAGAGATAACTACGCAAATGGAAATAGTTTTTCAATTTTTGTGATATTTCTCAATTAAGTTTAATATTATATGACATATGTTTATCAAGATGCGTAGACTCGTCAAAATGAAACATATGAAAAACATATGCAATATTTGTATAGACTGAGTAAGATGTGACAAATCATCACATGGCGCTGACCTGTGGCGGAAGTACTATGCTGGCCGCATGGAAGTCTGGTAGAAGAGTGGTTGAGGTCACACAAGTTCTTCCGTCATTAACAATGAAAGACGTTACCTACAATATTTCGGAGAATGCAATGAAACCATCGAAACAATGGGACCATAGGATGTGAACAAGTCATCAATCGTGAAGAACTAATAATTATTTTCAGGGAGACTTACGATAACAGTTTTCTTCAGATAAGCAGAACTTCCGTGGTTACGTGGAAACATGAAATCTAAGTCTGCAATCAATCCAATCTTTCAGGAAGTTATAATTACATTGAACCTTGTTTCAGGTCAGCTGAAGATGAAATCGACTCACTTGCCAAGCGATTCAAAACGAAGTTGTACAACACCAAGCAGCCCCAGCTACTGTTTCCTAGCAGGTAGGTAGAGCGTGTACGGACCAAAATATGTGCAGATGTTTTCACACACTGAGTGAGTGAGTTTGGTTAAACGCCGCTTTTAACAGTTTTCCAGTTATATCACGGCGTGTCAGCTTAATGTGGAAGGAAAGCCAGAAGTGATGCAGGTCTCAGACGTTTACCACTTCGGTGAAACCCACGAGCACGGGTATGGCGCTGACAAACCTAGAAACATAATCGGGGCGAACCGGGATTCGAACCCGCAATCATAGGTTTCTGGCGTGCCCAAGGGACGCAACTCTGCACAGCGAATCGCGGAGCCTTAGATGACTGGGCCACCCGTGCCCCCTGTTTCGACATAATATTAAAGTATAGTACTATGGTTATAATTAATATCATGCATTAAACATGATGTGATAAGCTATTGTGTTCTGCTCTTTTTATATTCATGTTCTAGCTCATAATCTGAGAACATTATGAATCATTTAATCGAAGAACGTTGGAAATTTAAAAGGTATGCATGTTGTTGCGTACATGGGAACATAATATGGCATTTCGTGATTGTCCAGTGTACTTCATACATAACTCTATTGAACTTTGATGAATCACTGCGCCAAGGGCATTTTAATACTGGAGACAACGTTTTTCGTCCTTGCAAATGAGCTTGTCAGAAAATAAAAATAACACCAAAAGACCAGAATACTTGTTTTGGCCTAAAGGAACAATTATCTTTCAAGGTGACCACCGAGTGAATGAGAACCCGACTCTACAGAGCCTGCACACCATCTTCATGAGAGAACACAACCGTATAGCAAGGAAGCTGAAGCAACTGAACTGTCACTGGAGTGATGAGAGAATCTTCCAGGAAGCCAGGAAGATAGTCGGCGCTATCATACAGGTTGGTATTTTCTAGTTTTCTAGATTTTACAGATTTTTTCAGCCGCCGTCTATATGTTCATTTATTGTAACTTTTATCGATTATTACGAGGACCCAAAGATCTAGTGCGAATATCGATTTGGGGGCGATTCTCACAGTCGTTCCGCTTATGATTCTTGGTCTGTCTGACCATACTCATCCTCTTGGGTTTCACGAAAATGGTCAGCGACTAAAATCTGCACGATTTTCGTAAGAACTTGACAAGCCATGATTATCTGATGTACTGTTTAATGTATCGATCAACCGCACTCACTCATGTAAATATGACATGTAAACTGATCACGTTATATCTATGTACTGCGAATGAATGTAAATTAAATGTACTCGGGATTTCAGAAAATCACGTACGATGAATACTTGCCTATTATCATGGGCCAGCAAGCCATGACCCAATATGGCTTGCCAATTGGATCTGGGAGCAGTTACGCCAACGTATACAGCACTACGACCGACGCCAGCATCAGGAACGCCTTCGCTACGGCGGCTTTCAGAATGGGACACTCCATGATTCACAGCTTCTTAGCTAGCTACAGCTCTTCATATAGTAATCTCGGCCAGGACCAACTAAGCAAGACCTTCGGCAACACGAATCTCATTTTGAACGCCAACAACAGGAAGGTGGACCATTATTGTAGAGGGCTGGTTAAGGACGGTGTTCAGAATGCAGAACACAAACTGACGCAGGAGGTCACGGACAAGTTGTTTGCTGACAGTAACGGCAATAGTCTGGACCTGGCAGCTCTCAACATCCAGAGAGGAAGAGACCACGGGCTACCGTCTTACACCAAGTGGAGGAAGTACTGTAACGTTCCAACAGCTACATCCTTCGCCGGTCTGGCCTCCACGACACACACAACAACTACAGCGAACCTTTTGAAGAGCGTTTATAAGTGAGTGCGGTCCCTTTTCAGAAGAATATATTTTCTATTGAATCAGGTAGTAAAGTATATGTAATTGTACATGTGCATTTAGCTGTACTTCTTCTTAACAACAGCTTCCTTTGAGTCTAATATAACAATAATTGATAATGAAATGGAAAGACCGCTTACTATTTATATAATCAGTTGGTAGACAGAACAGTTAATCAGAACTCTCATTTTTGCTCTTTGGGACTACTGTTTTATTTAAATGTTTTTGTGGAAAGTGGGAGAGCCAAACGGTTAGAGCGTTCGCTCGTCATGCCGAAGGCCCGGGTTCTAATTCCCACATAGGTAAAATATGTGAAGCCATTACTGGTTGTGCCCCCTCCGTCTTCCTCTGCCGTGATACCGCGGGAATATGTAAAAAGTGGCGGAAGCTGACAAGTAGAAAAGACGTAGAGAGTGCTTTTTCTGCAGATGTAAACGCCTTTGAGCCAACACCCTGAATCACACCGATCCATAGTTACATGTCTCTTTCCAGACACATCGACGACATTGACCTGTTTCCTGGGGCTCTGTCTGAGAAGCCTGTTCCAGGAGGACTTCTGGGACCGACATTTACCTGTCTCCTTGGGAAGCAGTTCCAGGCCCTGAAGGAAGGAGACCGATTCTGGTTTGAAGAGAACAACGCATATGTGAAATTTACTCCGAGTGAGTTATATTATGTTGCGACAGTTAGTGGTATTGAATTACAATAAACTCAATCATTTGTAAAATGATTATATGTACGATTATACGTATGATGGATAATGAATGGAGAGTTGTGTTATGTATATATTTGAGGCAGGCAAAGTATATGTAACATCGCTTTTATAACGATTTATCAACATAAGTGAAGGAGGTTTTTTCTGTCGATGTAGTTCTGCTTTCGCTAACGATCGACTTGGATAGTCGGGAGGAAAATTGACAAAAAATTAATTTGCCTCATGTTAATCTCTCTCTGATCACATACGCAATTGTTGTTACTGTTGATCTTCCGCCTACTATATATATATATATATATATATATATATATATATATATATATATATATATATATATACTGTACCAAGCCTTGCTGGACAACGGTATAAGGATCTATGTGGAAAAAATGAAGTGGTTATACATAAGTTTTGTATGCTTAAAAATCTCACAAGTAATGTTACTCTTGAGTCATAGGTTATAATTAAAAGTATCAGTTTCTTTAATGTATACAATTATGATTATTATCAGACCAGCTGAATGAGATCCGGAAAGCCAGTCTGTCCAGGGTAGTGTGCGACAATACGGACACCTACAAGATTCAGAAGAACGCTTTCATCAAGGGATCTCCGTAAGTAGCATTCAATACTTTGCGTTTATAAAACAATGTGAATTTTCACTTGCAAAATTTTATTAACACGTATACAGCAAAAATACCCGTTTTGCTCATCCACACTTATAATAAGGAATTTTGTGAATTTAACCTATTTTCCAGGGTCTCATGCGGTTCACTGGGTGAAATTAACCTCAACCACTGGAATGAGCCGAGCACAGGCACCTGGAACACCTGGACGTCCTGGGGAACATGCTACTCCAACAGACAAAGTAGGAGACGCTCATGCAAGACCTGTGGCTGCACTGGTCAGAGCTCACAGAGTCGTAAATGTGGAGGATGTAGTTGGTCAAGCTGGGGACAATGGAGTAGCTGTGTGTCCGGAAGAAGAAGTCGCTCACGGTATTGTCCCAACAACCAATGGCGTGGTCGCAGACGGGCGGTGTTGGAGGAGCAACTTCGTCCTAGGTTTCCTATCGATCCTATTGGTCCATATGATCCGATTGGTCCTATTGATCCCATCGATCCTATTGATCCTATTCGTCCATGTTCGTGTAGCGGGTCCAGCAGACAATATGGATCCTGCGGGTGGAACTATGATAGAGGTCCTGTGGACTTTGAAATGGCTAGAGAGGAGAGATTTGCGCCATTGGCATAGTATCTGGATCATGAGAAGAAACAGCCTTGGCTTTACACTGTCGGTAATACTACGGGAAACGAGTGTCGCGTGTTTCTTGTCTGTCAATAGTCTGCTGAAAAAAATAATAATAAAAAATGTCCCTTTGTACTTGATCTTCATGTATGTATTCATCGCAAAATATACCCATTAATATTAGGATAATCATACAAAATATACTATCCATGTCCTTATTTAGTCCCACAAGCTGCGAGTAGCTGTAATATTGCTGATGCGGCGTAAAACAATACTTATTCATTCATTCGTCCCACAAACTTGATCTCGAGTACATTTATTTTTGTTACACTGTCAAATGTATATTGGATAGAAACAATACTCATGTTATTCAGGTCTTTGTTCTTGTCAGTTTGATGAATAAAATTTTGTTGTCACAAGATTTGTGTTATTGTATGTTACTAAAACATTGACTGTGGGTTCTTTCACTGATATGATGAATGAGTGAGTTTGGCTGAACGCTTCTTTGACCAGCATTTCGGTCATTTTACATGACGGCGTGTCAGTTTAACGGGAATGTTAAAAAATACGCTTATCGTAAAGACGCTTACCACTGATGCTGACACATAAGGGCTCGAACCCATGGTCATTGGATCCTGGCGCTAAGGGCCGCAAATGATCCCGGCATAGTTATTGAGACGCCATCTCCACCGTTGTATTGGTAAGCTAATACGTCGTTCCCAAATCTGTTTAATTGTAATATGTCAAAACCGTTGATGTATTTTGTAATTCTCCACCATCGTTGTTGTATACTATTTTAACACGTCACAAGCATTGCTGTACTGTTTAAAACACATGTATACAAAAAAAACGTCATGTAATTGTTGTATAATTAATGTAAACGTCACAAACGTTGCTATATTATTGAAATACGTCACAACCGTTTCTGTATTATTGTAAGACGTCACAACCGTTACTGTCATAATGTATTACGTCACAACCGTTTCTGTATTATTGTAACACGTTACAACCGTTGTTGTAATTTTGTAGTACGTTACAACCGATGCTATATTATTGTAATACGTCACAACCGTTGCTGTAATATTGTAATACGTCACAACCGTTGCTGTATTATTGTAGTACGTCATAACCATTACTGTAATATTGTAATACGTCACAACAGTTACTTTAATATTGTAATACGTCGCAACCGTTGCTGTATTATTGTAATACGTCACAACCGATGCTGTATTATTGTAATAGGTCACAACCGATGCTGTATTATTGTAATACGTCACAACCGTTGCTGTAATACTGTAATACGTCACAACCGTTGCTGTAGTATTGTAATACGTCATAACCATTACTGTAATATTATAATACGTCGCAACCGTTGCTGTATTATTGTAATACGTCACAACCGTTACTGTAATATTGTAATGCGTCACAACCGTTGCTATATTATTGTAATAGGTCACAACCATTACTGTATTTTTTGTAATACGTTACAGACGTTGCTGTACTTTTGTAGAAGGTTACAACCGTTGCTGTATTATTGTAATAGGTCACAACCGTTACTGTAATATTGTAATACGTCACAACCGTTGCTGTATTATTGTAATAGGTCACAACCGTTGCTGTATTTTTTGTAATACGTTACAGACGTTGCTGTACTTTTGTAGAAGGTTACAACCGTTGCTGTATTATTGTAATAGGTCACAACCGTTACTGTAATATTGTAATACGTCACAACCGTTGCTGTATTATTGTAATTGGTCACAACCGTTGCTGTATTTTTTGTAATACGTTACAGACGTTGCTGTACTTTTGTAGAAGGTTACAACCGTTGCTGTAATATTGTAATACGTCACAACCGTTGCTGTATTATTGTAATAGGTCACAACCGTTGCTGTATTTTTTGTAATACGTTACAGACGTTGCTGTACTTTTGTAGAAGGTTACAACCGTTGTTGTATCATTGTAATGCGTCACAACCGTTGCTGTATTATTGTAATGCGTCACAACCGTTACTGTATTATTGTAATGCGTCACAACCATTGCTGTATTATTGTAATGCGTCATAACCGCTACTGTAGTATTGTAATACGTCACAACCTTTGACGTATCATTGTAATACGTAACAACGGTTCAACATAATCTCCCATTATCTTTCAATACACTTCTCATATCGATAGTGAAGCTTTTGAATTCCAGTCAGGAATACGTTTTCTGAAGCCACCCTGAAATACGCATTCAAGGCAGCCTTGAGGTCATCGTTGTGGTCATAGCGCTTTCCATGAACGCGTTCTTTCAGTTTAGGAAACAGGTGTAAATCACTTGGTGTCAGGTCTGGCGAGTATGGAGGGTGGGATAGCTCTTCGAACCCACCTTGTCGCACAGCAGCCTTTGCAAGTGGAGAGGTATAGAAGAGGCATTATCATGAAAAAGTAGAACTCCAGCAGTCAGCGATCCTCGCCGCTTTTCTTTGACAGAATCTCTCAGGCTATGACACAAATCACCATAGCAGGCACCAGTGATAGTCTTTTGACTTTCTAAGTTATCAACAAGAATCACACCCTGTGCATTCCAGAATACAGGGGTCATAACTTTCTTCACTGATCGTAAAGACTTGAATTTCTTTGGTGCTGGAGAAGTGGTACTTGACACATGTTACATGCGGTCATGAATTTCTTGGGGAGTACTTTCTCTATAGTCAAAAACTTGATGACTGCTCGGTTCTCGTTCCTTTCCATTTCTGTGTTCATTTGGACTCCTATCACATTCAACAGACTGTCATTATTATACAAACGGCCTCAACAGACTGTCACTATTATACAAACGGCCTCAACAGACCAAATACACTTGAAATGAACTGCTCAAACAATGTACTACATTGATTAGGTCACTTTTTTATGGCCCAGAGTTGAGAGTTAATCAGGCTTAGAACTATTTGCGAGGGCCTCGTACAACCGTTGCTGTATTATTGAGGTACCACTGTAATACGTAAAAGAGCAATACGCACAATCGCCGTATTCCATTTAAATGTACCAGCACTATGAATATTTATTACATTGTAACATTTATATTTCGCATAAACTTTGAAGGGATATGTTGTGCACAAGTAGACTTTATAGATGATTCTCGTCTATTTTAAAACTTTAATACTATAATACTATTGTATACGTGTTGTATTTAATATATATGTACAAGTATGTTATGACTGCGTCCGTCCATAGGCCTTCTCGTGCGATCATTGTGAATTGACGATGGTGTGCTACCTCGACGTTTCTCCTGTTGAGTCGTCAGTTTATAAAATATTTAACTGAGAATTTAACGCAACAATACCCTGATAAAATCAAATTGATTTGTTTTAAAGTAAAATGTTGTATGTGCATTCGGTGTGCAATATCTACACTTTTAGATTGTCTTTCTGATTAGGTTCATATTCCAGCTATTAACAAATTTCAAGTAAGGATTGTCATCACACCAAGCGCATGTTCATTGGTCTGACACTAGTGCACGGAGTTCCGCGAACGAAGCTGGTGAGGACGCCTGTGGGCACGACGTTGGACTTGATTGACGTGCCACATAGGCTTTTACTGTTACTTGCCTTGGGGCCTTGTCAAAAGTTCAGTGATGCGGAATAAAGAAAGGCGGATGTGTTTCTGTTTCGAGCCCTCGCCCCACTTAAAACTAAATATCATAAACATTGTAATACATGCACTACATTTAAACCAAGACATTGTTTTAACAGGGGACAGTTGAATACTATTGAACACATCGATTTAACATTAAACTAGTTTATTGTCATGACATGTTTTCTGTGAATTGAAAGCACACATGTAACGTCAACGTCGGAGAATAATCAGTGCCTGCTGAAACAGATTTCATTGGAAATAAAAGGCTAAATAGTGATCATGGGCGGATACAGAGCGCACCCCCTTTTTTATTTCGATAAAAATCTTTATTTCTGTATAAATTACCACCAAAGACAATAAATTGATGTTAATTGTGCCCCCCCCACCCCCCCTTTTAAAAAAAGCTGTATCCGCCCCCCCTTTTAAAAAAAGCTGTATCCGCCCATGGTGATGGTGATTATATGAATGGATAACAGAAAATTAGTGATGACACCTGGTGTTCGCAGAAGGTGAGCGTGTCCTTCTCTACCAGGTGCAACCGCCAAGCACACAATGTGCATAAGTAAATATATAATTTCATCCTCTTTCAATCCTAAATTAATTTTTCTCCTTTGAGAAGATCCCTAAGTACACATGTGGGTCACATCGCAGCATGACGCAAAAGGTGTGTTGTCTTCTCGGAAACATTCAGAGTACACTGTCAACATAAAATCCACAGAAACTATTACGCGTTATGTCAAATACAGTGTTGGAGCATAGGGGTCTGAAGTGCCGCAATTTTCCGTGCGGAGTTGCCTCCCTTGGACTGTAATAATGTTTGTTGCGAGACAAGGTTCAGCCTGACTATTCACTCTTCAAAAAATGAAAAGCACAGGTAGATTTTTAGTAAATATATTATGCCTAATAAAGTCGATATATTTAATTTAATATCATAGATACAATTACGAAATTTTGGAGCTCGATAGTCACATGTTGTCGTTGTACAAAGGAATTCAAAACATTTCATTGGCATGTCACATAAGGCCACAATGTTGCGCTGAACTCAGTACCTCTCTGACCGCCCCGGGCAGCAATCACGGCTCTGCATCTGGATAAGTGTATGAATTCTGTCCTGCTGAATTCTGCTTGTAATGTGTTGGCCAGTTGTGGGAGTGTATGTGGTGATCGATTGGGTTGAAATCTGGAGATCTCGACGGCCAGGGCAAGTCGTTGATGTTGGTATTATGAGGTAGTCTACCGTGACACGAGCTGTGTGCGGTGGAGCGTTTCCCTGTTGAAACAACTCCCTCTGGCGGGCAATGATTGGAAGAAGGTGAGGTTGAAGAATTTGAGTCATGTAGCGATTTGCTGTCAAATTTCCCTGAACCACAACCAAGTCAGATCTCGTGGTGTAGGATACGGCCACCCACACCATGACACTATCGCCACCGAATTCGTCGAATTCACGTACACAGTGTGGGGTAAAACGCTCATTTCGACGATGACAAAAACGTTGTCTTCACTCTCGCCGGTGAAGAAGAAACTGTGATTCATTGCTAAACCCCACTCGTCTCCAGTTTCTCATATTCCAAGGCTGTAAGGTATGGCACCAACGCAAACGTCGCTGTCGATGGATCTGTTTCAGAACAGGAACGATGACTGGTCTTCTGGGTCAGATTTCAGCCTCGCGAAGATGGTTCCTGACAATCTGGACCGATATCCCCCTCAAAACAGGATGCGTCCTGCAGTTTTCGTAGCTGTGGCATTGCGAGTACCAGGTGGAACAGTTGAATTTAGCGATCCTGTGCAGGGGTGGTAACTCT